TCCTTCTGCACTTCTCCTGAAATTGCATGTTTCACAGGTTTCAGTGTTTTGGAGTTTCTGGATTGAACTGGATTTTGCTCAACGTCCTTTGAGCAGGTTGTAGTATTTCCCTCCGTGTTTTACACGCGACTTGTCAAAATGGGGATCTTTTCCCCTGAATGTGCTTGCTGAAGCAATGCAGCACCTTCATCATAAAGCCTTCGTAGCTTCTAGGAAATCCCACAGTCTCAGCTCTAGTGTGTGCAGATTTTTTCATTGCCTTCCTTACTCATGGTTCAGAGATGTTTTTCTATATCACACCTCTAAAAACATTGTGTCAGCCCCAAAAGCAGCAGTAAGCTCAAATATGGAGGAGGTGCTCCCAGGAATGGGGCACTTATCAATTAGTGTTCTTATTAAAAAGGGTGTCTAGGCCCTGCATGGTATTTGAACCATTAAAGAAATAATGCTTATCTTGCTGATGTGATTTAACATTTATTCAGCCAGTGTCGGGGAGCAAACATGATGTCATGCACACTATCCCCCCAAAAAAAGATCAGCAGATTTAATCAGTTTCCACCTGCCTTCAGGATCGTATCCCATATAATCTGTCAGTAATGTATTTGAGCAAATGATTGGAATATATCCACAGTTCGTGATTGAAACCTGCAGAAGCTGTAGGAGTGTGAGCCTTGAATGGAGTGACATGCAAGTGAATATAGGCTCCCTTTTCCTGAGTAGAGCCTGTCTGTTTGATCTGTCTCGTGACTGGGAAGGAACTGACCAACGAAAAGCAAGGAGACACCCTTTTGACTTGCCCCCATGGCGGCAGTGTTGATATTTAAAAACAGATTGCATGTGTCTGATTTAGATGAAAGATTTAGATTCAATTATATAATGGATACTGTGGGTCTGTTTGAAATCATACTTCTAATGGCTGTATCTTGTTCAAATCAAATTATCAGATCGCATCAAATTAGAGTTACTGGCATGAGTTTTACTCATGCACTGAAGTTCTTTTCATTAAAAGCACTTTGCAAAATAAAGGTTATTATTACTATCAGCTTATATTATTTCTGATAAATCGGATATGTGAGCACAAATCTTGCTTGACAAGCAGCAGTGCACAGGCAGGGCTGTGCTTAACTGCAGTGTTTGGGATTATTTCCGAGTCAGTTCTGGTGTGCACTGACATTTGGTGGTTTTGCTCATGGCACTCTGTTTGGAGCAGACATGACTTAATCGCGGATTTAATTCAAGAGGTATTGT